CACACTCTATCAAAAGGCGTCGGCAAAAGTTTTCACGAACGTTTCCAATAAGTTGTATCGCCCCGTCGAACTTTCGTCTCGAACTTTATATGGTACGTTGTAAGACGTTTCTTCTATCTACCCTTTCCTTCTCCTCCCTTTTATACACACCCTAAACATTTTACAAAGAAAACACATTACGTAAGAACAACTAACTGTAACGTTAAAGAAGAAAGATATCATTTTATAGGACGAAATGTTATTGAGTTTACTGATAAAAAAGATTTGAAATAACATTTGCAAAACTCGAAACGTAATCATTTTTAATTGAAACATAAACGAAGACAAAATGGGGTGGTGGGGGAAAAGGGAGAGGGAACAAGTTTTTATACGTTCTGCAAAAATTGTTTTCAAAGAGATTAGAAAAAAACTTACTTATATACGTAACATCCGTTGATCGTGTCTATGTTTGTGTGTGTGTACAGGTGGCTGCAGGAACAGTTCACCAGCTGGTAAAAGAAGAGTACCATCTAGAGACTCATCGTTATCCGAAGGTTACGAAGTACAAGATAAAAGTAATGAAAATACCAATGATTCGGCTACGTTGGTATTTTCGGCAGCGACAACCTTGGCAGTTGCTGTCTGTTTAGCATCAGTTGCATTATTCGTAACGATATTCGTTATACTTCAAGTAAGTACTATATCTGTAAAAAGTATCATCTTCCCCCATTGAAAATCAAATTCTAATTGGACGTATGTGCGCATATTTTATAACACTTTGCCGTCTCCATCAAAGTTGAACCCTTTCGTCAATAATTTGTTCACTTATCACCGATGCTTTATTATTAATATTTATTTATATTTTGTTGGATACTTATTTTAGTATTAGTATGTTTTAAATAAAACCATCCAAAAAGCTTTTGTTCGATAATTTTCACATGACATCAATGTGGTGCCACCGGACAGTATAATGTTGATCGAGATTATTATTTTTAGAAATATTTTATAACACACGCGCGAGTATTATTGATAATAAATGTATTATTTACATGGAATTATTGCATGACAGGTTGAAAGAATACTATTGTAAATGAATCTCTCTATCTCTATCTCTCTCTCTCTCTCTCTCTATTCATCGTCAATATTAAGCATTAATATTATACCGTTGTTAATATTGATAATTGACTAATTTATTATCCAACGTTAACGAACAACAGACAGATGAAATTTATTAACTTAACGTGTAAACAATTTAAATTTATACGTCCAATATTTGAATATCAATATATGTTAATATACTATCACTATTTGTAATAACAATAATAATAATAATAATAATCAATATCGTAATTATTAGCTTATTATTCTAATACAAATAATAAATTGATAATTTACCTTACAGGCAATATCAGCAAGAAGACACACGAATATGGGTTACACGCAACTAACCGTGAGAATGGAATCCGTTGATGATGCCGATGCCGATGCCGATGATACGACGGAACTGATGACCTAGAACAGAAAATTAATAACAATGTTAACATCATCATCATCAACAGACATAGAAGAACCATCTCCTCTCGTTGAAGAAGAAAAACAAGAAGAAGAAGAAGAAAAAGAAGAGAAGAATTTATAATTGATCGATATCTATTTCGATTCATCGTCACACACATGCACACATATAATATATATACAGTCAAAAAATTGCAAGTTTTGGTTAAAAAAAAAAAAATGTCGTTGGATGCATTGAGATTATCAACAGATCGCATCACTCCCAATTATTTGTCGTTGCAATTGACAAAGGAGAAAAAGAGTAGAAATAAAAAAATGGCGGATGAAGAAGAAGAAGAAGAAGAAGAAGAAAACTCATCGTCATCAACAGCAGCAACAACAGTTGAAAAAAAAAAGTCCTCGATCAAGCAGAAAGTTTATATGTGTGTAATTTTCTTTTCGTATTACAATAATGACGATGATAATGATGACGATGATGATAATGATGACGATGAAGTTTAATGAAGTTTAGTTTTATTCGACGTGCGATCGTAATGGATGGTAAAGATTAATTAACATGGATGTTTTTGAAAATAGAAAGAAAAAAAGGGGGCATTAAAAAAGGGCGTGAAAAAAAAAAACAAAGGAAAAAAATATATGTACCGGGTGGTCGTTTATTTTTTTGTTCTTATTGTTAAAAATCATAAACACGTGCACACGTGTGTCTCTTACTGTGTTCTCTCACGCGTGTCTGTTTGTATGTATATGCGTGTGTATGCGTGTGTCTCTAATACGTCGATAGATAAAAAAAAAGGAAACAAAAAGATAAAGATAAAGATAAAGATAAAGAGAGAAAGAGAAAGAGAGAGAGGTGGACATTAAAAAAGGGTGAAGGACATTATAAAGTGCCTGAGAGTAGAGACGCCCTTGATCATCCAGCCTTTTACTCCTTCCCCCTTCCCTCCCAACTCTCAAACAGAATACATGAATTTCCCCTCTCTGTCCAACAGAAAAAAAAAAAAGAAGAAAATAAAAAAACACAAAGGATAAACTGAAATAGAAAAAGTGATCATCGAAATTCATCATCGTCACGTATCCTCTTTTTGGTTTTGTTTTTGTTGCTGTTGCGTCAACCCCAATGGGTGGTCTAGACCCCAAAAAAAAAAAAAGAAAAGAAAAAATTTACGTAGGATCTTCTCTCCTTTTTTTCTGTTTCATTAATTCAATCGCATTTTGTTTTGTTTTCTTTGTTCTTCTTATTAACGATGAGAGGAATAATATTAGATGGACCAGAAAGTAATGTTGCTTTCTAACCTTAAATTTCAAACGAATCAATTTTATTCTAACAAATTTGTACTTTTTAAATCAATAATTTAATCACCCTTTTTCATTATCAACAACCTTTTTTACACCTGTTATGCAAATTTTATAATATTGAACCGATACAAATCATCACAATTGGTTTTTTCATTTAAAATATTAGAAATAATTTGACATGTGTTGTAACGACGCCATTACTTTTCGGTCTCCCTAACATTAATAATAATAATAAAAATAGTAATAATAATAATAATTAAATCGCTTCGAGTGCGATTAAAAAACAAAAAAAAAAATAAGAAAAGAAGAAAAAAAAATCACTTTAGATTAAAAAAGAAAAAAATTAGTTCAATGTTTATAGACCGAATATTTAACCCTCTGTAAATTTGTTTGTTTGTTTTTTTTTTCATTCATTTTGTTCCTTCCCCACCTTTCCCCCACTCCTCTCTTTTTTTGTCATAGTTTACAAAAATAGAAAAAGAAAATGATTTCAAATATGATTGTTGGTTAATGAAATATTTAAAAAATTATATTACGTATGTATAATTAGACGAGGATAGTGATGAACTTCAAATGACGAGAGAGAAAGAGAGAGAAATAGAGAAAGATAAAGAGATAGAGAGAGAGAATGATTAAAAAGAGGACCAGATGAGTGAGAGGGGAAGACAGAGAAATATACTAATTTTCATCCTACATTTTCTCTCTCTCTCTCTCTCTCTTTCCCTCTCTCACTCATTCACCCTACTGTTGAAACGAGAATGACCAAGTTCTAATAACTTAACACGTATGACATGCATACATTACATTATATGTAAATGTGTATTACACATACGTACAAAATTGTATTACATATATAATACGTTATAAAATACTTTTGCATACTGCAAGTATTACAATTATTATTATTATTATTATTATTATTATTATTATTATTATTATTATTATTATTATTATTATTATTATTATTATTACAACTTTTTACTTTCCCAGCATTTGTTTTTTTGATAAATAATTAAATTGCGCGTGTGCATGCAGCACTTTTCTTTCGAGTATAAAAATTATTATTATTATTATTATTATTATTATTATTATTATTATTATTATTATTATTATTATTATTATTATTATTATTACAACTTTAGCTAATGTGTTATTAAATATGAATAAGAAAGAAACAAAACAAAAATAATCCAAATGAATTCTCTACCTCTCTCTCTTTCTCTCTTTTATCTCTTTCTCTAATTTTCTTATATTTTTCACATAGATTTTCATTTCTCTCATGTCAATCGTTAAATACACACACCACCAAGAGTCATTCCAGTGTGGGTTATGTGTTTATAATTATGTATATGCGTATATGTACGTCAGGATGCATTTTTGTGAAAGAAAACAAAAAAGAGAGAGAGAGAGAGAGAGACAGATTAAAGAAGGGAAAGTGGGAATAGAAAAAAAAGAAAAAAAATTACAGAAAGAATGAATGTGATGTAAATGTGTTGTGTAATTTCTCGTAAGGGCCCACCGCACGTGTCAGAATTATTATTATACAAGGTGACGCATTTTTGAATAATTTCTTATTTGTTGTTTCTATATTTTTCATTACCCCTCTCTCTCTCTCTCTCTCTCTCTTATTCATTATGTGTTCTCTTTATTATAATGTTTTTTCTTTTTTTTTTGTTGTTTATTTTCATCCCCCAACCCCTCTTCTTATTTTTATTATATAAACTATATTTCTCTCTTATACAACAATATCGTTGTTTTTACTTAAGCTTTTAGTACGTTTATTATTTTATTCGTTTATAATTTGTATTTTTTTCTTTCCCTCTTTTTTTTTTCTAATTACAAAAAAAAAAAAAACAAAAAAAATACGAGACTCCTCTAAGTGTTTGGAGTCGAATTATGTAATAATAATAACAATAATAATAATTAACGATCGACGGGAAACAAAAAAAAAAAAGAAAAGAAAAGAAAAAAAAAAGTCAAAAAAATAAAATAAACAAAAATACGAACAAAAATAAAGGAAGAATGGAAGAAAGAATATTTGAAGATGAAAATGAAGATGACGATGAAAATGAAGATGAAGGTGAAGGAGAGATTTAAAGATTAAAAATAAGAAAAAATAAAAATAAAAAATAACAGAATGAATTATAATAAAAATCACGCGCGAGCAAAGATTAATCGCGAATCGACATATTCCTCGAATCATCAACTAGGAACCGTCGTAAATAAATAAATAAATAAATAAATAAATAAATAAATAAATAGCCCACGAGTGCGTGCGTGCGTGTGCGTGCGTGCATGTACGTGCGTTTACGTGCATGTCTAATTATTAAAACAACAATTAATTAATTACAATTGTAACTCCGACTACCACACACAAACAACAACAACAACAACAACAACGCTACCTAACAACAAAAGTGTTGCACATCATAACGACGAATATTGAATGTTCTCTTCGTGATTTGATATAAAGCTATTATTGTACTTTTATGAAGGACGCGATTATAAATATATACATATATATCTATACACACAGATGATACTAAACTGCGTATGTGTGAGTTGTTTTATTTTTTTATTTTTAGTTTTGTTCTTTTTCTTTTTCTTTTTTTTTTCATTTACCCCTTTTTGTATACTTGTCTTCTTTCTTTTACTATTTAATTTTTTTAATTTTGAACCTATATATGATTATGTGTTCTCAACCCTTTCTTTCTCTCCTTTTTATATTTTTTTCCCCCACTTTTTATGAAGGAGAAGGCGAAAATGGGTTTACGAGGTAAGTACTTACTTTACTTTTGGCCAACGTCGACGTTTAATTATCGCTAAGTGCAAGATCCAATAGCGCACGAGTCGGCTAAAGTTTTAAACCCGTGAAACTCTCGAAAACTATACCTGATCGCGCGAAAAGGGCCCTGGCCATTTGCTTGATGAAATGCGGTGGTGGCTACTACTACCTCGCTTGAGTATATACTATCTAACCATAAGTGTGAGACAAAAACGTGAAAGGTAAAAGAAAACGAACAAAACAAAAAAATAGAAGTGAAACCTTCTTAAAACCATCGCTTCGAGAGAATGAGTCGAATGCAGAGTATCAGGAGTAAAATAATATTGTAGGATTTATTTATTATAATAAAAAAACCGCTTTGATTATGAGAAATGTGGATAGTCTAGTGGCCAGTCGAAGAACTAACTTATATTGAAGTGAAAACTTCTCTCGAATGGGTGTGATTTGAAAAAATGTAACGGATCGGTAGGCGGCTATGTAACGGAGCGGTAGGCGGCTATGTAACGGAGCGGCGGGAGGCCATGAAACGGCAGCAATACTAAATAAGAAGAGAANATGTAACGGAGCGGTAGGCGGCTATGTAACGGAGCGGTAGGCGGCTATGTAACGGAGCGGTGGGAGGCGATAAAACGGCCGCGATACTAAATAAGAAGAGAATACAATTATCCTACACCAGATATTTTGTATTCGTCTCATTCTCTCGAAACTTAGTTTTTAAATGTGTGGGATTGAGTTAATATGAGTCTACGCTTCGTAGTATGTAGTTGCACACAAACACACACATATACAACACTTAGTCACCAGGAGTGGGGACTACGAAGCATCGCATAAAAATGAGACCAAGATAATAAAAAACAAATGCATACTGTCTTCTATCTCATTCTCTTTTAGGCTAAATCCTATAGATGTGCATATGTTTGTCTCGTTTTCTTTTTTTAGCACCATAACCGTTTCACCGTTTCGTTGCCCGTTACCATGGATTTTCGTTCGCTTTTTTCAAATCATCTCCCGTTCTAAAGAAGTTTTCACTTCAAAATAAAACGATGAATTACGATGAACGAGTTACGTTAATTAACAAAGAGAAATTTACCCTATTTCCATCTTCATTTAACCTTTCGAATTAGTGAAAGAGCTAACACAAAGTGCGAACGTAGGTGAAATGTTTCAACCTTTCATCTTTCTCTCTCTATCTCTCTCTTTTCTCGAATATATAGAATTAACTTGAATCGTTCGTTTTTCTCGAAGCGCTAAATTTACTTTTAAAATTGCAATTGGCTATTCGTCATCACGTTCTTCTCTTTTGAATAGCTCGTTATGCGAGTTATGCGATAACGTGACCAAAAATTCTTATCTTGTTTTTACCAAGATGAATATATATTCAGAAATACATATATTTGTATTATAAATCGATAACTGTTTCTTTTTAATTAATATGAACACGTTGAGGGCCACGGGAATTCTTAACGAAATTTCCGTCAGGCCATGGGGATTACTTTGTATTGAAAAATAGTCGCATGTGTCAGTCACCAATGATTGACGTGGCGCTCAACGTATTAAAATAAATAATACAAATAATAAAATTAATTTACATGTAAGAAAAAACGTATAACAAATTCTAAAACCATGCTTTTTTATATAATATTAAATTAAAATGGTTGAGAAAAAGAAAAACATGTGTGCATATCACACAAGTTAGAAGTGAAACCTTCAAATAAACAAGTTTCGAGAATAATTTATCATATAATATTATTACAATATTATTTGTACTTTTAATTTGTAATTATTTATTTAATTATTAATTTAATTATATAAAAATGCGCGCCTGTTCGTATGCAACTCTCCAGACAGACTTTGAAAATGTTGCTTGCGAGTGCCATCTACTGGAACGGAATTTTTTCTCAGTCAAAACTATTTATACACGTAAGTATGACAGGTTGCCTAACTTTCGGGCAGACAAAAATTCTGTCCCGAGAGATGACGCTCGCAAGCAGCATTTTCAAAGTGTGTTTGGTGGGTTTCATTCATACAGGCGTAAATTTTTTAATAATTACAAAAAAAGTAAATAATAAACTACTTTAAAAAATGTTTGCAAATCAAATATTTTTTATAAATAATGATAATAATTGAGCTCTAATATTGTAATTCATTAAAATCCATAATTATAGCAAAATCTTTCCTTCCTATACATATATAATAATTTTCTTTCACTTTTGTTTAGCAGACTATTGTAATTTTCTTGAAAATGGTTGTAATACATTATTGGTTGGTCGATAAAGGGTTAAAGCTTTAGCTTCTAAGGGTAACGATCGGGTCAACCCTATCTCCCCCGAGTGGAAACTCTTAGAGTAACGGAATAGGGTAATGTCTATCGCTATTGCCGTTTATATGGCGTGTATATTGCATGGCATCGCTACGGGAAAACTAAAGTACGCCAAGAGACAGAGAGAGTAAGAGAGAGAGAGAGAGAGAGAGAAATCCCACTTCCGGAACCCTTCGAGGGAAATAGTCGAGAACGATCTTCCAATCCCGTTAACATCCTTTCCCTTCGAGTTATCGTTTCGTCGAACACGAACCGATCGTAAAAGTTTATAACAAATGCAATATAAATTATCGAATGAAATAGTCATAATTTTTATTTTATTTTTAAAATCGTTTACGTAAATTTATAGGATGCTTTGGTCACACGTTGGTGTGGTTTTGTTATATAAAATGTTGATTTAATATAATTTTAAATTATTTAGTAAATTATAACAACACATAAAATAATAGTACTCTAAAAAATATAAAAAAAAACAAGATTAGTTTTGTCATATATAAATCTGAAAAAGACGTGAAATAATTTGATTGTAATACAGCGCTATCTATTAGAAATTTACAGTAACTAAAGATCTAGATAACCTATAAATAATCTTTAAATTAGCAATAGAACTTTAAAATTCTTAAATTATCAATAAAAAATATAAAAAATAGTCACAATTTATAGTTTTTAAGCAAACCTATATTCTAAATTGGAAAAAAATCACACAAAATAAAAACAAACATATATATACTTACTGCTAGATAATTAATTTTTAAATTACCGATGAAAAATAAAAATAAATCGCGATAAAAACTATCCTATATTTTAAATTGAACAAAATCACGTAAAATAAAGAAAATTTCATTAAAATCGGTTCAATAGTTTCGGAATTATTAGTGAACAAACATATTGCGACACTGAATTTAAAATTCAAGAAAAAAAAAAAGGAATAAAACATTGTAATTACAAAGTATAAATAAACTCAATACGAAAGAAAGAGAAAGTAAATACAATTATTACAAATCCCATAAAGACGTGTTTTACTACTAATTGAAACATTAACTTTTCTTACGAAAGAGAAATTACATTTTTTTTTTATTCCTAACTAAATATTCCTCCTTCATTTTTTCTTTTTTTTTTATTACGGTGATGCAACGCATAGTCATTATCGTTTCAACGAATAGTAATCTCCATTTTCTTTCCTATCCAGGCGTGGTGATCATATATTTCTCTTACTTTCATTTATTTTTCATTATCACCTAGATAACAGATCTTCATGGATACGCGAGTTCATTGATATGAATGTAACAAGATCAGAATAGAAGAAAATCGATGTGAATTCATCGTCTCTTTACACGTGAATGTGTGCGTTTTCGATATACGAAAATTAGAATGAACGATACCATTTATAGTCGTCGATATATCGATCGATATAGAAACAGAAAATCAAAATACAGTCCGAATTTGTTCTATGAATACCATAAATGTTACATGATAAATTAAATAACACCTACTAAAATCATTTCCATTATTTCAAATACGTAAGAAAAAAAGTGGCTTTTAAATCTTAGATGTTGTACGATTGTAGTGGCCCACGAGCGTGGGCGCTTAGAAGCGCTTAGAAATTTCGTGACGATGAACATTTCAATTTTTTGTGATATTTATAGTAATGATTCGATTCAAAACTGTAGTGGCCACGAGTTTAGAAATTTCGTGACGATGAATATTAAATTTTTTTGTAATATTTATAGTAACAATTCAATTCAAAATTGTAGTGGCCACAAGTGTGGGCACCTATAAGCGTTTAGAAATTTCGTGACGATGAACATTTAAATCTTTTGGTAATATTTATGATAATAATTCGATTCAAAATTGTAGTGGCCACGAGTGTGGGCACCTATAAGCGTTTAGAAATTTCGTGACGATGAACATTTAAATTTTGTTGCAATATTTATAATAACAATTCGATTCAAAATTGTAGTGGCCACGAGTTTAGAAATTTCGTGACGATGAATATTAAATTTTTTTGTAATATTTATAGTAACAATTCAATTTAAAATTGTAGTGGCCACAAGTGTAAGCACCTATAAGCGTTTAGAAATTTCGTGACGATGAACATTAAAATTTTGTTGTAATATTTATAATAACAATTCGATTCAAAATTGTAGTTGTCACGAGTTTAGAAATTTCGTGACGATGAATATTAAATTTTGTTGTAATATTTATAATAACAATTCAATTCAAAATTGTAGTGGCCACAAGTGTGGGCACCTATAAGCGTTTAGAAATTTCGTGACGATGAACATAACATTTTTTGTAATATTTCTAGTAACAATACAATTCAAAATACAAAGCAACAAATAAATAAATAAATAATATTATTGTTAACATAATAAAATAGAATTTTTTTGAGATTATTGACAAACAATTCGTTGTTTCTAATAAAAATAATCCTCCATGTTGATTTCATCCTAAAATAAAAATGTAACAAAATAATCTAATTTACTGTAAAAAGACAAAATTTTGAAACAACAAGAAAAAAAGGGATCAGAGGGTGGAGATCATTTTGTACAGGTAAGGCTGAAAAAAGGTGATATATTATTATTCCTTTCAATTTTATTCCTACTCTGGGCGTTGGAAGAGGAGTCCATTTGCAAATGGAGTCACCTTCTCTCCTGTGACCGGAGGATATGCATTTGTTAATGTATTTTTAATAAAGCTCCACTGTATGCACATACAGTGTTACTTTCGTGGCAAATTAAAATCGTCGTTCGTTCCTCGAGTCAACGAAAGGTACTTTACTTTTATATATATATATATATCTCTTCTTTCTCATTTGCATCACGAACTTATTATTCCTGATTAGATTTGATAACAAAAAAAGAACAAAAAAAAAAAGATAAACAAAAGTACAAGTAGATATATAATATTTATTTATAAAAAAAAAATAAAAGAATGAACGAGCATTAAGAATTATTTTAAATTAAATTCAGTGGGTAACAATTTTTTTTTTTTTTTTTTAGAATGACGTTACACCTGCTACTCTATAATTTCTGAATAAGAAAAAGAATACAAAATCAACTGGACACTGTTGACTGTATAAATTTTACAAAAACATAACGCTATCGTATAATTCACGAAAATTATAATAATTCTTATTTTTTAATGATAAATATGAATTTGTCAAATTAAAATATGCCTTCTGATTTAATTCCTCACATTTTTTGTTTTTTTGTTTTTGAGATAGAATGAGACAAAATTTACATATTTTTGCGCATGTAAAACGAGATGTTTTAAATGTATGTGTTTATAAATGTATATGTGTGCTCAAGTCGAGTCACACAAAATAAATTTTGATATAATAAATATATGACGGGCGAACCCAACCAGCAGACGTTTTCCAAAAATGTTGTATTACGTTTTGAAAAATCATTTAATACACGATTCATATTTTCTACATTATTTTCTTTATTCCGATTAATTTAAAAGTATTATCAATCACATCGTAAAATCGTGTTAATCGAAGCGATATCACAAATAAAAGTTACATACTAAATATCGTCGTTTAAAATAATACTTTTTCGTTAAGTGCTATAGAAGCATTGAGAAAAAGTGAAGTGATATTTGTTCATTTTCGTTTCCAATATACAATATATTTTAAGTTTATATATTATACATACATATACATATACATATACATATATATATATATATATATAATATGTATATACGTACGTTTTTTTTTGTATGTATATTAATTAATTAAACTTAGAATGATAAAAGTTTCGTTTACTTAACTATAATAAATCCGTCTTGATTTGTCGTTAAGTATACGGTGCGTCGAAAAATGTATAATCAAAAAAGATTCGTATTTTAAATCTACAGGCAATCTACGACTACTTTGTTGACTACTACATGTGTTTCTATAAAAAAAAAAAAAAAAAAAGAAAAAAAAGCTATATATATATATATACGAATCTTGAGAAATATATATATATATATAAATGTATATCGAAACTTTACAATACGTAAACTTGCCAGTTTGTATTCGTTCGCGTTGTTAAACGTAATGCATCATTATTATAAATAATATAATACGGACTAAATATTAAAATCTTTCAGTAAAACCGATAAGATCTTTTGTTTTGCACTGATTTCACCGTTTGCGCTATTCCACGGTCCATAATTGAAATTCAAAATTTCTTCTGCGTGTGACAAATATCGTCGTGTCTTTTTTAAGATGTTTCTGTAAAATCAAAATATATTTTTATCTTTTCTTTTGTAAGTATTTCAAACAATGTGATGTATTTTTTTTTTTTTTAAATAAATTTAACTTACTTATACCACTTTGTCACTGTATTCGGTTCTTCTTGAAGATATCTTATACATATATCTGTAAGTTTATTTAATTCATTGGCAAGTTCTATGCTACAAGAACCATATCTTTCACTTATGGCAGCAATGCTATGTTCCAAATATGATATAGAATCTAACCATCGACCTATCATTATAAAATAAATTTATTACAATATTATTTTTTCATTGAAATATAATCTTATAATTCTAAAAAGAAGAAAAGAATACCGATACGAACCCATAATGGCATATACTTTCCCTATGAGATCCAACGTAGCAGTAATATCTTCATGGTATTTATATAATACAGTTCTTCTAATACTTAAACATTGTTTCAATTTATCCAAAGCTTCCACTTCTCTTTCCATTTCTATATAATCTTGTGCATCTTCAAAAAGTTTCTGAGCATGTCTTAATTCAATATCATAATTTAAAGTAGGTGTTGCACCACAATCCAAGCAATGCATATAATAATTGTGAACTGTAAACAATGCTCCACTGCATTCTGGACATTTTATAGCATTGAATCTTTCCTACAAAATATTAACATTTATTATATATGATATCGCAGACTCATGCAGTACCTGTGTGTGGGTTTACTGATCAAAAAATATTATACAACTTTGCCAGTAAACCTTGAGACACATCTTGTATATGATTAACTGTAATTACCATAAAATATTGAAGTTCTGGTATGGTGCAAGGTTCACATTTGCAAGTAAAGCAATATTGACTTTTTAAGGCCAATTGCCTATAATTTCTTGATAATTGTCTAAAATGTGCACCTATCAAAACACATTTAACGAATTATGTTATTGTCATCATTTTAAAATATGCTATTTATATTAACATTTTATTTACCATAACAGGTATAAATTTCTTCTCCTGCTCCTATATCTTTTATAGTCTTAACAATCATATATTGGTCCATGAAACTGTAAAAAGTTATAATACAAATATAAATAAATTCATTATCAAATGTTATACATCTTACGATATTATAAATAAGATATTTTTACCTGCATATTACATTTGGATCACAAGAATGATTCATCATACTAGCAGAAGTATATACCGCTTTTGCAAAACGATTTTCTTGTTCTGTTAAAATCTTATCTTTAGCTGACACAATTACGTCTAATTTTGTAATAATATGACCATTAGATACAAGTTGCAAAATGTGTCTCAAAATTAAACTGCCTACGTATAAATGCCTATCATTTTCTACAGAAGGGTCACAGGGAAAATTGTAACTCTCGTCAGAGAATTTCGATATTAGACATTCCGTAAGATCATTTTGTTCAAAAAAATTAGAATATTTTATAAGATAAAGCGTAAGCATGGTCGCCGTCTGAAATATAAATGAATTCTTATTACGTGTCAATACTAATTGATGTTTCAAAGTTAATTACATAATCAACTTACAATTCCAAAAGAAATAAGATCTTTCAATGGTAACTTTTCATAATTTGTTATCAACTTTTGAACCTCGTTAAATTTATTTCTATCAGTTGTAGCTGAGCACACTAAAAACATCTTTAAACCTAAACGTGCAATTCCATTATGATTCCAAAGTCCCATTTGGCTACCTAAACATTCCCAGCGATGATATAAATTAAAATCATCATTCCAACATTTCGTACTACAATATAAGGTATCTGAACACATCGTACACCTAAAAGATTTTCACACATTAATTAATATACCTGTATATTCGTAATGTAAATGTATAAAAACAAAAAAAGACTTACGGAATAGGAACATCTCCATAAGGACGACAACAATGTTCACAAAAACCACTGATTCCAGTATAATCTATAAGTACAAAAGCAAATGGTTTTTCAACAAAAAGTATTTGACCTTTTTTTATATCCCTATTAGCTACAACATGTCTTCCTTTCTCTGTTGAATATTTTCTATCTACTGCTATCGATGCAGAAGGAAAATCAGGATTTTCTCCAAATGCGAGTTCAGGCAATGATTGAGTTCCATCGTTATCTTCGATATCTTCTGCATCATTTTGCGCACATGATGCAAGCGATGCCAATTGTGTAATTTGTTTTTCTATATCTTCTGTAGATATCAATAAAACAAATATTTCAATATACAATATAAAATGAATGAACAAAAAAGCTTATAAAATTGTAATAATTACCAACCTTTTTTCACATCTGGTAGGTCGGTACATTTAGCCATTAATTCACGTAAATGAACAAGAGCTTCCTTAGCTTTAGTTGGTTTTCCTAATTTTAAATATGACTGTATTGCTCTTATGTACAACTTATGTCTTAATTTTTCTGGATAATCTAATTTAATAGCATGTTCAATATTTTTAATACAGTCCTTTAAAAGAATTAACACAAAATTATATATTTACAAATATATGATCATTTTTACATACAATATTTTACATTTTATTCATGTTATACTTACTTCATATTTACCAAGATGAAATAAAGCGGCAGATCTATTGGCAATAGCTAATGGTAAGATTTCACTGTCTGCTGGAGCATATAATGCAACCTTTGTATAAGATTGTATACTTGAATTATAATTTTTTGCTTGAAATTCTTTGTTACCAGCATCCTTGAACACCTGAGCTTTCTCCAATGATTTGAAATCTCTGTGATCATATTTTTGTTCCAACCACAATGTTATGAACTCCCTAAAATAAATAGACAAAATATCACTTTACCTTTACAAATGTTTACAATTAAATTAAACAAAGAAAAGTATCATGAATCAAATATAAGATAGTGCACATGAAAAAACACGTGTAAACAATAATAAACAAAATAATTCAACAAAGTTAAATGTCTATCTCTCTTATCCTTTCAGAAACTTACTTTACTTCTTGATCGGCCAATAAATAAGTCATCAATCCAATCTCGCGTTTTTCGTTAGGCGCATTTAAACGCGTGATCCTTATTTTACGATTAAGTGGCTCCAATAAATGTGTCCACTCCATATTTAAAAAAAAAAAAGCCGAATAATTCAATACTGAGATTTAACGAATCTCAAATAAACAAAAATATATTTAAATTTGAAGGTTATGTTATGTCACAGCACGAAACGGATTGAAATCGTTAACATTGATCAACAACATTGCCGTCTCGAAAGATCACCACTAATTAATTATTATATTATATATTTAATATATTATTATGTAATATGTTAAACTTTCTTTGAATATTGTTTGAACGTAACAACAATATAAAAATGTTTCACAGATTAAATAGTTGCTTTATGAGAGCATACGTATATTCGCGAATCAATCAGATTTTATTCTTCGTTGTTGGCTCACTGACTGAAAAAATATTGACAATGTCTGTTAGGTTAGTTCGTAAAATTGTCACTTTAAAGTCAACCATGCAAAAGGAGTTACTTCTAGGGACATTATAATTTTGAAGGAAACATCTAGTTACAGTGACTAACCTACACTCGTGTCGGCACACCAGCGCCGTACCGTTCAATGCGCATGCGCTGCAGCTAGAATGGGGATAACAATAGAAGTCCAGCCACCTGCATTTTTCTATCCAATACGCATGCAGTATTTGTAAAACGGGGATAACAATAGAAGCTGTAGCCAATTGCATTCTTCTATTCATTTTTTTTGGAGTGGGAATAACAATCAGTGGTGGAAGGGGTAGTATATAAATCCGATGCACGTTTTCTAACCCACATTTCCAGTTACGTTTTGTAAATTCTTACGAGTGTACCTGTGCTGTTTGAACCGTTCAAATAGTTTAATTCAAAACTATTCACAACTTCTTCAAAGTGACATTTCTTGGTGTTCGAAGTTTTAAATATAATTTATTTTAAAACTATTCACAACTTCTTAAAAGTGAAGTTTTTGATTTTAAATATAATTTAATTTAAAACTATTCAAATAAATAAACCAACATGCCTCAAGGAAGAAGGAAAGTGCCATTCAGTGGTAAAGCTAAAAAACAACAGATGCAAGCTAAGAAACAACGACAGAGCAATTATGTATTAGTTTCTGATAATCCATATGAAAATTTACGAGAGGGAAAAAAGAAGACTGAAATTGATACTACAAATATCAGAAAGAGAAACAACAAGATAGATGAATTTGAACAAACATATGATTCCAGTAAGAAGAAATATGAAATATCGCAGAAGAATGAAGAAGAGGGTAGATCTGCAATTAATATGATCTCTCTCAAGGAACAAGAACTTAGTTCCATTTCGGATTACTTTCCACCTGACATAGATATGCCCAAAAGACCACTGTGGAATTATGTTATGCAGAAATCCGAGGTGGAAAGCAGAGAAGAAAAATATTTTCATGTAAGTATTCAATTCTCATTTGATACTATATCATAGTATCATTTTGTAGTAGTAAACATTCTGATATAATATCTTAATATTTGATTAATTAATCATTTGTTTGTGTTTCTTTTCTTTAGAATTACAAACGATTGTTAAGAGAGGACGTCAGCTATTACGAAACAAATTTAGAATTTTGGAGACAATTGTGGAGAGTTATAGAAATGTCTGATATATTGTTGGTCATTGTCGACATTAGATTTGCACCATTGATGTTTCCACCTTATTTATATACATTTATAAAAGAGGAACTTGGAAAAGACATGATCTTAATTCTCAACAAAATTGATTTGGCATCTCCTGCTTTAACATTAGCTTGGAGAAATTATTTTGCTAATCTTTATCCAGATTTACATATATTAATGTTCACATCGTTTCCAAATAATACATTGAAGAATAATACTAAGGATCAAGGTACTAAGAAACTTTGTAAAAGAGAAAGATTGAAGATGGCATCAGAAAAAGCTTTACAATTATTAGAAGAATGTAAAACTATCGTTGGAGATAAAGTTGATTTGGGTTCATGGAATGCTAAAATTCAAGAAGAGATGCATTCAAAAATGGACGTAGAAGATATTGACAGGAAGAATGATGTTGTCATTGAAAAACAAGATTTTGGTTATATAAAACATGAAAAGTACAAAAATGGTATATTAACTATTGGTTGTATTGGTACACCAAATGTTGGAAAATCATCTTTGATAAATTCATTGATTGGTAAAAAAGTAGTAAGCGTGTCACGTACACCTGGTCATACAAAACACTTTCAAACAATTTTCTTAACCAAAACGGTTTGTCTTTGTGATTGTCCTGGTTTGGTATTTCCATCGTTGATTCCAAGACCACTACAAATTTTAATGGGATTATATCCAATTGCTCAAGTCAGAGATCCATACAGGAGCATCAGATTTATAGCAGAACGAATAGATTTACCAAAAATATTAAATATAAAACAACAATCATATTCGGATGATGGTACTTGGTCTGCCATGGACATATGTGATGGTTGGGCTGCCAAGAAAGATTATTACACAGCTAAAGCAGCAAGATTGGACACTTATAGAGCTGCCAATTCAATTTTACGAATGTCATTAGAAGGAAGAATCCGCATTTACATATATCCTACCAACTGGTCTGCAATCAAAGGTACTTTTCTACTTCAATTTACTTCAATTATATTTATGTTTATTTTGATCTCATTATGTTTTATAATATTTCAATAAAATATCATGTAATATTAATCATTGAATTATTTATGTTTTTCAGATTATTATGAAAATCAAATTATCTTGAATGGAACAACCAGAAAGATGAAAAAGATGGCTCTTCAAGAATGCAAACAACAAACCCATGCAATCACTTCAAACAGAAAATATTCCTTTTCCGATATTGAAGAAGATGAAGATGAAGGGTTAGAGTTAGAGGAAGAAGAAGATGATGATGATGATTATGAACAAACTGACAAATCAGGAGGTCCTTCATTAAAAGAAGGAACTAGCGAAGAGGAAAGTAAAGAGGAAGAGGAAGAAGAAGCAACTAAAGGTGAAGATGAATTATCAACCATTGGATATACAAATAACAAATTTGATCTTTTACCTGAAGATATGTAAATACAAATTGTATAGAACTGAACTGATATCATCTCTTATGTAAATACAAAATTCTTTTTAACACATTTCAAATGAATCCTTTTCATTCTCTATTTAATATCCAATCAAAATACACATACACAATTAATTGCGCATTTATAATTATTACAATATTCATTTTCTAATGTTATCTAAAAAGTAATAGTTATTTTTGATTTGTAATTTGTCAACAGTGTTATATTATCATACATAATATTAATATGTAAATAATTATTGTACTAAATTGCTTTTAACATATCTTTATGTTATTTCATGTAAAGAATTTTGTTGTTGTTGTTGTTGAAACAATAAAAATCTAATATTTACACCATAAATTGTTGTTACTATTTATTTAATATTTGAACAAATCCTCCTATACCAGGGTTCGGCAAGCTTTTAAGTCGGAAGAGTCAAAAATTACAATCTTACAACATTTCAAAGTTTTTAAAGAGCCACAACATTTAATAAATAGTACTGGCATAAATAAAGTTTTTTGATTTAAAACAAACAAATCTAATCTATTTATTCATCAGTGCCTAATCTTCATTGAT